TCAAAGAAGAAACTGGGAAACCTCATTTGAATACAATTTTCATTTTTTATTTCTTTCAAGATTTCAAGCTTAGCCTAGGAATAGGCCCCCTACTGCTGCATCACTTGGTTTTTGAGTAGTTGCTCACATACTTACCCCCACCTACATAGGCCATCAACGATGCAAGGCTCTCATAAAACTTAGAGAGATTTCTACATAAGAAATAAGGCTGAGTAAGAAAGTCTGATGGGGGACCACAGGACGAAAAGAACAGTATAAGCCCAAGACAAGTATTTCACACACTTCATGTGGAATCCACCAAGCTAAGAGAGGCTGCATATATTTGTCAGGTGCAGTTAGACGGCATTTCAGAATACAACTGCAGTAAAGGCAAATCATGAGGAACCAGTACTGCCACAAAGCTCTGAATCGGGGTTGAATCCTTTTTAAACTGCACAATGATGGGTGGAGACCCTTGAGTGTGGCTTATGACCCCTAATAGGAGACAGAGAGTCTAAAGACAGAGGGCAATTCAGGCTATAAAATTTGGGAGCTCACTGATTAGTACACATGCTCTTTAACTTTCAAACGAGAAATGAAAGTAAGGAAAAAAATTAAGTTTGTAACATACATATATATGTATGTAGACACATGTAACATACATACATATATATGTATACATATATACATAGTATAGTTCTTTAGATTTTTTAAAGTTTATTTATTTATTTTGAGAGAGAGAATGCATGAGTCCAGGAGGGGCAGAGAGATAGGATGACAGAGATAATCCCAAGCAGGCTGTGCACAAATCAGCACAGAGACCAAAGTGGGATTTCAACCCACGAACCGTGAGATCATGACCTGAGCCAAAGTCAGACGCTTAACGACTGAGCCACCCAGGTGCCCCAATTATTCAGATTTTTAAAATCATTTTCACTAAAGGTAATTCTTTTATATCTAATTTGTACACTTGTAATATAGGAAGAATTGTCCTCACTTTGAACAAAATGTTTCAAACTTAATAATTTCAAAATTTAAATGGATTGTTTAATGATTCATTTTAAAGTTATTTCAGATTTCTTCTGAGACTTGTAATATGGACTCTTACCAGCAAACAGATCAATGAATTCTCTGACAGAGAAGGGAAGAGAATCAGAAAATGAATTGATGGAGCTTTCTTGTGTAGGATTTGCAATAGGCTCTATTTTGGATTCAAACATCTAAACATCCATCCAGGCCCTTCCACATTGTTACATAGTTTCCTTTGTGCTAAATAACTTGCATTTGTAAGAGAGCATACAAGATTTTTTTTAAGTTTATTTATTTTTAGAGAGAGAGTAAGTGGGGGAGAGGCAGAGAGAGAGAGAGAGAGAGAGAGGGAGAGAGAGAGAGAGAGAGAGAGAGAGAATCCCCAGCAGGCCCTGCATAGACAGCACAGATCCCCACGTGGGGCTCGAACCAAGGAACCATGAGATCATGACCTGAGCCAAACCAAGAGTCAGACGCTCAACCAACAGAACCACCCAGGCACCCCAGCATACGAGACTGCTAATTCCAGTTTGTTAGGGTATACTTTGGGGAGTATACTGCCCAGAATAAGGGCTTCTGAAATGAATAAGATCCAGGTTTGAATTTAGGCTTTACTGCTTATTAACTGTTTCACTTAACAGAGCTTCACCTTTTGACCTTCAGCTCCTTATCTTGCAAAAAAAAAAAAAAAAAAAAGTAATGAGTCTCACCTGAGATCAAGTACAAAATTAAAACACCTTAGGCAATGACTGGCACATAATAGATGATTGATTGGTAAGTTTGAAATGTGCCCTCATGGGTGATCATTCCAAAGAAAAATGAAATTTTTAACCATGTTTCTTTGATACTTTATCCCAACCAAATAAATTCATGACCCAGTGTAAATATTGTCTGTGATCTCAGTAATAGGATCTGGGACTAAATAAGATAACATATCTAAACTGCTCTGAGATCTCTTCTAATGCACTCTTCAGTAGGAGGTCAATAAAACAGTCACCTAAGTGCCTGAAAATAATAGAAAGAGCTTTACCAAAGAGATGGCGGAGACCACAGAAATGAGACCAACCAAATTACATTCTGCTGAGCACTTGATTAAATTTAGCTTTTAAAATCCTCTCAACAACCCTGTAAACTAAGTGATACTATCATCCCCGTTTTCCAGATAAGGAAACAGAAATGTAGATCAGATGAATGATCTCTTCTGGGTAGTTGTTATCTTAATACAGAATGACTACTGTGTATACGACTATAGGATAGAAGTTAAAGCCTTACAGGGGTTAGAATTAAATTTGCCAAACTCCGGAGCCTACTAAAATTAATTTCACTCAAACTGGAAGAAGCTGATATGCTTGGTTTCCACGCAACTCCTCGACATCACGAGATGCTCAAAAACAACATCATGTCACTTCGAATGACTATTTCTGATGACAGGGGAGAAAGGGAGGATTCAGGGTATGTATGCTTTTATTTCTGCGGCTGGTTGAGCTACTACTCATTCATATCATTCAGCCTGTAATGAAATTGTGAAGTCTGTGGCGGAAAATGCCGACCAGGAACTCAAAGATTCCATGTCTTCCAACTGCCCTTAGACCTACTCAACAGGATACTTAAAGCCACAGACTCTTTAACTCTCCTGATGTCTGGAAAAATTTAGAAATTATACAGATAACACAACACATAAGCAAAAGTGCATCTGGACCCTGCCATTTTCTCTCCATTATCTGTGTCACTGAACTCTGTTTATTGTTTTTGGTTTAATAGCATGATAGCATGTGGTTAGACTTGACAGAAATTGAACCGTCACCGGCCAGGCTTCATGAAGAGATCTCCTTAGTTCTGAAATATATCATGACTCCCATCTTTATTTTCTGATTATTTTTAACTTCTGAAAGCATCTTCATTAAATCCAGAAGACCATATTCCCATGTGATTAAACCGAGTCAGTATATTTTCTTTGTTAACTTGAAATACCATTATGCAAATACACTGATCCAAAAAAGGTGGGGGTGAGGGGTGATGGTATTTATTCTAGAAAAATTGATTGCCCAGTAAGATTTGGAAAAAATAAGAATCTTAATCACCATTACATAAATACACTTCACACCATCTTTTATGTTCAACAAGGAATACTCTACTGTATAATATTTAGTAAGGATCTGCACTTGCCGGATATTATAGATAAGCCATCTCTACTGCTATGTCTATGAACATCTGAGACAAAAAAATAAAACGTATACATGGCAAATCCAATCTACTTAGAGAATCTAATGACTTTTCACTTTTAGGTGTACAATGAACAAAGTGTGCTCCAAGCAGAGTTAGAGATTAATGAAAAACCCATGACGCACACGAATGATCACACGTATGTGTGCTCAAAACAAATATTTACTAAGTCCATTATACAGAAAGCTTTACTATTCTGACTGAACCCACAGATTCTCAATCACAAATTTGTTACTAGCTGATTGTCAGCGCTATGAACTGAACTGTCATGACAGAATGGTTAATACAGAAGAACCAGTAGGTCATGAGTGAAGAGGCTACATATCCTGAAATGAGAATTAGAGACATTTCAAGAGGGAAGTAACTAGGTTCCTAGAAACGGGATCACAAGCATCACTTGTGATCACTTTTACATAGCCCCAAACGCTGAAACTACCTATCTTTCAGGCCTACTCTCCAATTTGATTTTCAATTACCGCCAAAGCTGGGCAGTAAACTTTACTAGATTGATTGGGTTAAAATGGACAGAGAGGAAGGGTTAAATAAGGAACAGAGATGATGTCAAAGTTGCATTGGACTTCTGTGTCAACAGCACTCATCAGTTGGTCAATCATCAAGTGTGTGTTGCACAGTGCCAATATACTCAACTAAAATGGGATTGGATTCATTGGGAGGAAGACCCAACAGCAGAGCAAACTTCAGTGAGGAAAATCCCAACTACACCCATCCTTCCTGTGTGATCATGCACAAATGATTACAGGAGATTAAGTACATAAAGCTAGTGACACACTGTGTGGCTCACTGTAAGCATTAAACAAATAGTAACTATGATACAGGGATGGGAGAGATACTTTTGATAGTCTGAAGGGTTAGAAGGGGGGGGGCGTTAAGAAAATAAGGCATCAAAATAAAAAATGTTTGGCAACTGGCAAATCAAAAAGTGTAACACCATTTCAATGTAGTTGAAAAATTTCAAGCCCACGAGTAAAGATGATAAAGCAATGAATAGATAATCTTACAGAAAAGCACACATCTGAAAATTATGCACACAGCCTGGTGCTGTGTTCTCTAACACCAAAAAACAGAGAAAGAAACAACAGGCCAAAATAAAAAACTTTCAAATTTTGAGAAAAAAGACAAATTCTGAAGTGATAGCTTGCAGCAATTTTACTATCTCACAATCTGTCAGTATTATTTCTTCAGAACCACAAAAACAAAGATTTTATTGTCCATCTATTTCACCTCCTACAATCTAATATATAACAACAACAACAACAACAACAACAAAAGTAGAGAATTTGAATTCCCAAACTAATGGATAATTCAGCCTTGTGCTTCTATAACTCTAACCCTTTTTCTCTATTACTACCTGATATACATTAAGGAAATGGATTACAGACAAGACATTTTCACAGAACTTGTCCAAGACTAAAATAAAAGTAGCTAAGTCTCAGGTAAATTAAAAGTGGCAGTTACCACTGGATACACTGAGGGGCTTGTGGGACACAGAAAATTAAGTCCTGGACAAATAAGGTCAGTTGGTAAGAATGTAAAAAAAAAAAAAAAAAAAAACTTAATGAGATTATTGCATAGAATGAATTATGCAATAATGCACTTTCAATATGCAAAAGGTTATTTTGATTTGAAGACCACTAAATCAACCCTAACAAAACACCATACTATTTGACTCCAGATTGATGGCTGATCTAGAATATGTACTTCTGCTGACCCAAAATGAAAATGCCATCTATTTTTCGGTGGCTGCTTACCTGATGACATGCGAGTTCAGCCTCATGTGTACTCAAAGAAATTGAGCAAATGGAGAAATAAACAGAATAGAAATGACTCAGAAGACGAAGGGCCATTTGGTCTCTCTTTCAGTTCTGTTTCTTTACTAGACTTCCTCTTCCTTCGACAAGTGAAAATAATGTGGGTAATTCTCCTTCCAATCGGACTGGAGAAAGAGGTCAAAGATAGACAAAATAAAATAACAACAGCAAATGTAAATATGAGAGCACTATGACATTACTGGAAACAGAAACCCATTTCAATGAAAAACAATTTCCATCTAGAAAAACACAGTTCATCTTATCTACAAGCTAGGAGTAAAGTAATGACCTGAGCACACCCACCTTTCTCTCTCTCATCAGCCTCTCTAGAGATAATATTAAATTACATACAAATGAACTCTTTACCAGCCCCTTACCCAGATCAAGAAGTGTCAGAGGAACTGAGAAATGTTGAGGAATCTCTGAAAACAGGAAGACAGAAAATATATGAAATAGGAAATCACAACTTAAAGGGCTTGCAAGTCATTTTACCAAAAAAGATGGGAATGTCTTTGAGGAGGGTCACATATGCTTGTAGTGGGATATGTGGGGAGTAAGAGAAGCCCTCGGGCACCCACCATGCTGACTGGTTAGATACATACAGTGTTTCACTTATTCACTCTACCCTCAATACACTACACTAGAAGGGCAAAGGGAGGAATTGCATTTGAAAGGCTGAGCAGAGTCCCAGGGAGCTGGTGTAATCATCTATCAGCACAGGAAACTCCTTGGCTAGAAGACGAAAAACCCTTTCTTGTCACCCCACAGCAGATGCTGCCCTTTTCTCAAAGAAAGAGAATGTTTTTATAGAAGGTCTTTTGTTTCACATCAGGAGCTCCAAGTGATTATTTGTAGAAAAAAAAATAATTTATCACATCACCTTGGTTCATTTTCCACAATGGGAGAGAGAGAAAAATTAGACAGAAAACTAGACAGTATATCTGGTTATAGAACATTCATTGAGAATTCATGAGAATGCAAAAAAAAAAAAAAAGTTGATTCAACAAACATGTCAGCCAGCTTTTATGGAAGAATATACCTTTACATTCAGTATTAAAAATACAGAACTACAACAAAGCCTTTGAAAATAGATACAAAGAGCTCTTTTGCCATCTTGGAGCCTGGGGAGGGCTGCTGGGAATAGGACTCCTAAAACAACAAATATCGCTAGAAGGTTACAGTCTAAGGCCATTTTTGCGGGCTATAAGTGGGGTCCCTGGAATCAGAGGGAGTACACAGCTATTCTCAAAACTGAATGTGTTTATGCTCAAGGTGAAATTGAAATCTATCAAGGCAAGAGAAGTGCTTATGTATACAAAGCAAAGAACAACACAGTGACTCCTGGTGGCAAGCTGAACAAAACCAGAATAATCCTGGGGAAAGTAACTCATGGTTCATGCCAAATTCCAAAGTATTCTTCCTGTAAAAGCCATTGGCCATGGAATCCATGTGATGCTGTATCCCTCAAGGATTTAAACTTACTTAAAAGTAAATAAATAAAGGTGTAGCTATGTTCTTTTGATAGATGATACATACATACATACATACATACATACATACATAAAATGGAACCACCTTATGATCAAAGTTAAAATGTTGTAACTGAGGGGCACCTGGGTGGCTCAATTGGTTTAGTGTCAACTCTTGTTTTCAGCTCAGGTCATGATCTCACAGTTTGTGAGTTCGAGCCCCACATCAGGCTCTGTGTCATGGTGTGGAAGTTGCTTGAGATTTTCTCTCTCCCTCTCTCTCTGTCCTCTCCCCACTTGTGCATGCTCTCTCTCTCAAATAAATAAATACACTTTAAAAAATGTTATACCTAGCAACTCTACCCATTAGGTTTTAGAGTAGGTCCAAAGGGCCTATCACCATACATGAATAAAAGAACCTAGCAAGTGGACAGTTTCACATCCATTGCACATCCTAGAATGATATCCCTCTGAAATTTTCCAGCATCTCCCTAATCCCTGTTCCATGATACCTATCAGCCAGCGATATCTGCACCCTCACACAGAAGCAGCCAAGACTGGGCAGCCACATCCTAAAGTGATCACAAAGGTGTGTTTTCATCAGTGTGCAATTCTGTAGGCAGTGTTGGGAGCTTTCAGATATGAGGAGGAACTCGTTCAGTTCCCAGTCTGCACAAGCCCTCCACAATCTCAAGCCCACCCTCTTCTCTGGCCAAAGCCACATCTTGTCCCTATTTCCAGTGTGATATACTTTCATGTGCATCAGGTCAGTCACCTCACAGCCCCTGTCTCCTGTGTTACCCATCACTGAAGTCACTTGATCTCCAGAACCAATATATGCTTGGATGCCTCTATATTTTTCCAGGACATTCACCAATTTCTGAGGCTGGGCTGTATGGTCTTCATCATCCTCATCCAACCTCAGTACTTCCTGAAATTGGAAACATCTCAAATAGGCGGGGCTCATCTTTGCAATGAGATTTTCTCACGGGTTTTGTGTCCTCTGATTTCCCCACAATAAATGGAGTTTTGAGGGTTTGGCTAGCTTTCCCATGTGATGCTTGAGCTTAAAGTCTGGCGGTGTGAGAGAAGCTGGCAAGAGAACTGGAAGATGGAGAAAGAACTACGTGTGTGCAAGACGGGATGGGGGCCTTCTCAGGCTTGCAGAAGACATATTCGATGAAAGACAAGCTTATAGACAGAAGTGATACACTTCACTTAGAACATGTCAGTTCCTCCTGGAGACTTAATCTAGGAAAAGAATTGGCTGAGGCAAGAAAACTGAGGTTCAAAGCCATGAAGGGACTGTTTGATCTAAGGCTCTTACAGATTCTTTTCACAGGGCAAGGCTTCCATATACAAATGTCTTTGGTAAACCCTAAACACACAAATGTCTAGCATTTTAACAGGATATATGTTACGTACATCTTGAAAACAAGCAGGTATTTATCAAAAGCTAAACATTGAAGCTCTTTCTCTATTTCCCAATTTTATTTTCACTAACACACACATACAACATGTCTCTCCAAATAATCCTGTCAGTGTCAATATAGATATTTGTACATAAAGCAGATGACGGCAAACAGGGAAGACATTCACTACTTCAAGTCTCACTTATTTTGATCTTTCAAGAGGCAACTTCAGAAGAGACTCCACCCTCAACACTGGGGGTTGAAAAACAGCTCTGGAATTCGTGATAGGCTTTCTCCCCTGCCATCGGTGCACCTCAAGGGATCATCTCTGTTCTAATTGCAAATTTTCACCAAGAGATTATGGTCAAACTGAATTTAAACAACATGGTGTATCTATCAACCATCAGTAGAGATGGCAGGAGGAGACACAGGCTCTGCAAGTCAAGGTCATGTTAGCGCTTGGCAGAAGAGGCCGAGTTCCACCCAGCTTCCTAGCGTGGTCCAGATGGTTGTGTTTCCTCAGCATCCTGACTTGTCTGAATGGACCTCGAATGCTTTCTTTTGTTCTACTTTGTTTCTCTTCACTGTAAATTCTGTGGAAGGTGTGCAAATGAGGGCCACCAATCTCAGTTTCATTCCTCATAAAGTTTCTATTAAACAGAATTCCCTAACTTGCTTTTTCCCATTTCACTCAAGCACAGAAAAACTAGTTTTCCTTTTATGAGCCACTACTGAAGTAAGATGCACACTATAAGTCCATTTTTTGAAAAAGAAAAAAGACAGAAAGAAAGAAAGAAAGAAAGAAAGAAAGAAAGAAAGAAAGAAAAAAGAAAGGAAGGAAGGAAGAAAGAAACTTTTATCCACAGGTTACTTTTTCATGAGCTTAGCCATCAAATCCTGACAGATTTTGGTTCTACTGTATCTGTTTTCAAGTGTTCATGAGGATTTTGTTTCAGTTAATAAATGAGGTTTTTCACCCAGTCATAGGGCAAAAGCCTCTGACTGTACCACGAAATCTGATGCTCTGACAAAGGGTCTTCCTTAACAGTTCAGCCCCTAATTTCAGCAGAATAAAGTAAAACATCATTTGCTCTAAACCAAAGGTGTTCATATATACTTTTTTTTTTAAAGTTTGTTTATTTATTTATTTTGAGAGAGAAAGAGAGAGAGGGAGGGACAGAGAGAAAGGGAGAGAGGGAATCCCAAGCAGACTCCACGCTGTCAGCACAGAGCCCCATCCCCAGCTCAATGTCATGGTCCATGAGTCCATGACCTGAGCCAAAACCAAGAGTCGGACACTCAACCGACTGAGCCACCCAGGCGCCCCATATATATTCTTAACCTAACTAAAAACAGTATGTCAGTAGTAGCATGTTATGGCTATATTATAATATTTCCATATTTTAATACTAGCCAGAATATTCACAGAACTAATTAGACTACATCAGGCCTACAAACAAGTGCCTGGCAATACCAGATATCCTACATATTTAGTTTCTGGAATTAACGTATGGAAAGGAATAAATTGAAAATTTTAATCCATATATAGATGCGTCACATTTGCAAACACCTTATCGGGAAACCAGCACACCCAGAACTCATTACAGAGAGCATTCTATTAGCTTATCAAAAATTCAAAGACAAAAATAAATTGTAAATACCAAAGTAATTCAAAATAATTTAAATTACAACTCCAGTTGAGAGACATTTATTATGAATCAAGCATAAAATTACAAGCACTTTTGAAATAATATAGAAAATATTAAAATTTATCATCTGTACTTTTTATCTATAGTAAGGTGATGTCCCCTGAAAAAAAAAACCCTGGAAAACAGAAATGAGAGTGGCCTCTTGAAAGTTACCATTACCATTTAAGACCAACTGTTAACAAAAAGATCAAAACAAATTCAAACACAAATTTATCTAATGAAGCAGAATGACCCCAAAGCCAGTGAAACTGGATTATCACCTGACCTGCTGTCTAAAGAAAAGTGAACTCTATTTGAGAAGATTAATCAAGATATATATTGAAAGTGATCATTCTCACATCCCTATTTTAAATAAAAAATGGAAAGACAGAAAATAACAATAATAGGATTGTAATCCATATCCATTGGCTTAGAGTTAATATATACGAAACGTCCTCTTGGTTAATCCATGCACACCAGCTACCTGCTGATTATATTCATGTGGCTACAGGGAGAGACAATATGAGGATCTTATAGACTTCAAATTTCTTTTTTT